TTTTTCGTCGTCGGTGGGAATTGAACTCTGGATGTGCCACTTGGGGGCGACAACTTGACCACTTCACTAAGTCGCCACGCCCCATATGTATAGTATTTTATTGGACTCCATTGGCTCCATTGACAAATTATTTTCAATAGAGCAATGGAGTAATTTCAATGGAGGTCTACTCCATTGGGCCCAATGGATAAATGTGCCAATCCTGGTAACGGGATATACAAATAGATTTAAAACCTGTGCAGAAATTTTGAAAAATAGTGTGCGATCACATGAAAAATGAAAATGGTACATTGCCAGGTTGAAAAGGGAATTATGGGAGAAAATCAAGTTGAATTTTCCAGCTAATTTTGATGAAGCCAAGAATTTGGCAGTAAAGATCGAAGCATATGGCAAAGATAATGAGTATGATACCAAAAGGGCTGCTAAAACATTGGTTGAAGAATCAAAAGGGGGCAATAATTTTGATATTGATAGTTTGACGGCCACGATGGATAGTTTGAAAATATCTAGAGTAGACAAGAGGCCTGATGATGATATCCAAGAGATTAAAGACGCTATAAAACAGTTGACGAAGGTAATTATGGATCTTGCTACCAATAGTGGACCACAACAGCGAAGTGATCGAAGTACGGGGTCTCTATGATGTTATGCATGTCATAAGGAAGGCTATATATCATGTGATTGTCCAGAAAAGGTTCTGAAAATCAATTTCCGAGTAAATCCAAAGATTGACGAGAAAGAGATAGCCCGAAAGATGAGAGTATGGGTCAAAAGGGACCTGATGTACGGCTTGTAGATATATTTGATAGAGAATCGAGTAGCAGTCTGAAATATCTTATGGTCAAATTAGTAGATAATGAAGGTGGTGGTCAAAGAGATAATTTTAATGATATAAGGAATTTGGGTAAACGAAGGCAACAAGACTGGGTTGATACTCCTAATAAGAAAGGAAGGCTACGTAAAACAGTAAATGCAAGGCAAGAAGAACCGTTGGTGTTCACAAAAAACGGAAACAAAGAACGATAAAGTATATACCACTATCGGACTTGACGGAAAACCTAGATGTATTAAAGACTGTGGCTGATCTCAAATTTGATATAACTCTTGGACAATTGTTTAAATGGTCACCAAAGGCAAGAAATGAAATTATGAAGGCTTTAGCTCAAAAAAGAAAAGACGTCGACACAATGAATTTGGATGTCAGGTTGCGATTTGTTCAGGGAAGTCGAATACCAGGAAATGGAGATGACATTGTTCCGATATGGCCGGCGTTTGTGAATAGAGAACAAGTTGACGTGCCAATTGATCTGGGTTCGCATTTGAATTTAATGCACATTGATTACGCAAGAAAAAGGGTTAATCTGGCAGCAAGCCTATGGTAAAGGGAGAATGGCGGATGATAGAGTGAATGATTTTGTGGGCTATATTCCTCAAGTGAAGGTTGAAATGGAAGAAGTAGTTACAAATCAAAATTTTTATGTGATGGAGTTGGCAAGTTTTGATGTTTTATTAGGGATGCCATGGTTAGCTGGTGCATAGTGTAATCTTTATTGGAGAGAGAATGAATATTGGTGCACAGTGTTGTCTGCGAATAGAGAATTGTTATTTGTAGTATCGGTGGTGCCAAGAAATTGGTTGGAAAAGAACGATGTAGATCAATTCGATGACTACAATGAAGAGAATGGAGAAGAAATTAATCAAGTATCTGTTGTCAGAAGAGTTCAGGTAATAAGAAATGAAATGAAAGGATTAGAGAGAAATGAAAAAGAGTTTACCTTGTTAAGTGAATGGGAAAAATCACGGGATCTTTCTATAGGAAAGGAGAGTCAATTGGAGATTTCGAAACCTGTAATATTATGAAGATTAACCTCAGAGAATGTAAATTTGTTGAATATTGGACCTGAACTTTCGTTAGAGGAGAAACAATATGTAACGAATCGTTTAATTAAAGAAGTATCTAAAGTATTCGCTTTCGATATGTCTGAGTTGGGACAAACCAATTTGGTAGAATATGAGGTGCGAACTGATAGCATGGAAATACCGCCTATGAGACTTAGACCAATTCGAATTAACAATCCTGAAAGAGCTCGGTTATTTGAGGAACATTTAAGAGATATGATCAAATACGGTCTATTGGAAAAGAGACATGGACCTATGCTTATTGTTTCCCGGTCGATAAAAAGGAGGGCGGCACTGATCGAATATGAGCTGTAGGGAATATGAGACCGTTAAATAAGTATATTATCAAGGATAGTTATCCACTTTTATTCCTTCTTTGCTCACAATAAAACCATACATATTTAATTTTTTATATGCCACAAAACATTTCTTCGCTGCGAATGTGAGTCCTGCCTTTTCAAACATTCTAACTAATTTAATAAACACGTTTACATGATTTTCCAAGTTGCCATCGGCCCATAGTCCCACATCGTCTTGGTATGCAGCGGCAAATTTCTTCCACTCATCATCTTTTAAGATCAAATCCATCAATCTCTGAAAAGTCTCACTAGTATTTTTCAAACCCATATACATCACAGTATATCGTAAAACATCGAAATGGCCACCTTGTTCCAGTCTTCCTCCCATATATGTATCTGCCAATATCCTTTGAACGCATCGACGCTTGAATACCATTCATGACCCGCCGCCTTTTCCAATATATCTCTAATAATCGGAAGTGGATAACTATCCTTGATAATATACTTATTTAACGGTCTCATATTCCCTACAGCTCATATTCGATCAGTGCCGCCCTCCTTTTTATCGACCGGGAAACAATAAGCATAGGTCCATGTCTCTTTTCCAATAGACCGTATTTGATCATATCTCTTAAATGTTCCTCAAATAACCGAGCTCTTTCAGGATTGTTAATTCGAATTGGTCTAAGTCTCATAGGCGGTATTTCCATGCTATCAGTTCGCACCTCATATTCTACCAAATTGGTTTGTCCCAACTCAGACATATCGAAAGCGAATACTTTAGATACTTCTTTAATTAAACGATTCGTTACATATTGTTTCTCCTCTAACGAAAGTTCAGGTCCAATATTCAACAAATTTACATTCTCTGAGGTTAATCTTCATAATATTACAGGTTTCGAAATCTCCAATTGACTCTCCTTTCCTATAGAAAGATCCCGTGATTTTTCCCATTCACTTAACAAGGTAAACTCTTTTTCATTTCTCTCTAATCCTTTCATTTCATTTCTTATTACCTGAACTCTTCTGACAACAGATACTTGATTAATTTCTTCTCCATTCTCTTCATTGTAGTCATCGAATTGATCTACATCGTTCTTTTCCAACCAATTTCTTGGCACCACCGATACTACAAATAACAATTCTCTATTCGCAGACAACACTGTGCACCAATATTCATTCTCTCTCCAATAAAGATTACACTATGCACCAGCTAACCATGGCATCCCTAATAAAACATCAAAACTTGCCAACTCCATCACATAAAAATTTTGATTTGTAACTACTTCTTCCATTTCAACCTTCACTTGAGGAATATAGCCCACAAAATCATTCACTCTATCATCCGCCATTCTCCCTTTACCATAGGCTTGCTGCCAGATTAACCCTTTTTCTTGCGTAATCAATGTGCATTAAATTCAAATGCGAACCCAGATCAATTGGCACGTCAACTTGTTCTCTATTCACAAACGCCGGCCATATCGGAACAATGTCATCTCCATTTCCTGGTATTCGACTTCCCTGAACAAATCGCAACCTGACATCCAAATTCATTGTGTCGACGTCTTTTCTTTTTTGAGCTAAAGCCTTCATAATTTCATTTCTTGCCTTTGGTGACCATTTAAACAATTGTCCAAGAGTTATATCAAATTTGAGATCAGCCACAGTCTTTAATACATCTAGGTTTTCCGTCAAGTCCGATAGTGGTATATACTTTATCGTTCTTTGTTTCCGTTTTTTGTGAACACCAACGGTTCTTCTTGCCTTGCATTTACTGTTTTACGTAGCCTTCCTTTCTTATTAGGAGTATCAACCCAGTCTTGTTGCCTTCGTTTACCCAAATTCCTTATATCATTAAAATTATCTCTTTGACCACCACCTTCATTATCTACTAATTTGACCATAAGATATTTCAGACTGCTACTCGATTCTCTATCAAATATATCTACAAGCCGTACATCAGGTCCCTTTTGACCCATACTCTCATCTTTCGGGCTATCTCTTTCTCGTCAATCTTTGGATTTACTCGGAAATTGATTTTCAGAACCTTTTCTGGACAATCACATGATATATAGCCTTCCTTATGACATGCATAACATCATAGAGACCCCGTACTTCGATCACTTCGCTGTTGTGGTCCACTATTGGTAGCAAGATCCATAATTACCTTCGTCAACTGTTTTATAGCGTCTTTAATCTCTTGGATATCATCATCAGGCCTCTTGTCTACTCTAGATATTTTCAAACTATCCATCGTGGCCGTCAAACTATCAATATCAAAATTATTGCCCCCTTTTGATTCTTCAACCAATGTTTTAGCAGCCCTTTTGGTATCATACTCATTATCTTTGCCATATGCTTCGATCTTTACTGCCAAATTCTTGGCTTCATCAAAATTAGCTGGAAAATTCAACTTGATTTTCTCCCATAATTCCCTTTTCAACCTGGCAATGTACCATTTTCATTTTTCATGTGATCGCACACTATTTTTCAAAATTTCTGCACAGGTTTTAAATCTATTTGTATATCCCGTTACCAGGATTGGCACATTTATCCATTGGGCCCAATGGAGTAGACCTCCATTGAAATTACTCCATTGCTCTATTGAAAATAATTTGTCAATGGAGCCAATGGAGTCCAATAAAATACTATACATATGGGGCGTGGCGACTTAGTGAAGTGGTCAAGTTGTCGCCCCCAAGTGGCACATCCAGAGTTCAATTCCCACCGACGACGAAAAA